GCTTACCTTGAAAATCACGACTATCATAGTCAAATCAGTTGCCTCACAATTCTCATTTTTCTCTACCGCGATTTTCAAAGAAGAATCTTTTTTTTTCTTGCTCGGCCGCTGAAGCACTCAGCTATGCACCGCCAAAGGGTGCAATCCACATGTACAGCGAGAAAGGGCCTAAAATTTCAGTTGGGAACACTGGGATTTTCTAAAATAACGCTTGTATGGTCAACTGTCGTTTGAAAGAGGATGGTTGAATCTCACAAGCTAGCTGACTTACCAACTGGTATCGCAAGTTTCTAACCGAACCATTACTAGCACCTACCTATTCTAACAAGAGCGATCAACGGACTGCTTTGTTGTGAGTAACGTTCATCGGTCGGCTTGTTGGTCAGGTCTGTCGTGCAGTTAGTGTATCTAACTTGCACCATCTAATGCCCCGAGGCTGATTTCTTACTCTATTGTCTATAAGGAACTCGGCAATGTGCCCAAACGACCGACCCATTTCGATCGTCAGTGTGTATGTATGCCGGCTTTTTTTTTGCAATTCGATTACCTCGCATGAGCATTCGTTTTCGTTTGTGATGTGTGGTGGGGGGCTGCTTTTCGCTTCTTAACGGCTGATTCTCGATAAATTAGAATTGCCTTTTGGGCATTCGACACCTTGCGGCAACAAATTCAATCAACTCCGTTCTCCCTTGCTCCCCTTTTATGTAGTTGAGCAAACAGTCCATTTGCATAGTCCCCTTTCTTCAGTTTTAATTTGCAAAGTGGACAGTAATCCTTTTATTGATCGTGTAGGAATGGAACTGTCACGGAAATTACTGCACATCGTGAGAAAGGCTGTTTTGCAGCAAGGTCTACCTTGATCCTACTAACTTGTTTTCCAAGTATCGAGTAAACAACATGAATACAGTATTTTTTCCATGAGGAATCTCGTCAAGTACACCCATTCCCCGTCATGTGGTCTCTCTTAGGGCTTAGTATGATGACTACTCATGAGTAGTTGCAGATTTTCAATCCGCAGAGCTTGCTTGGACAGTCTTGATGCGATTAGCAAATGGCAGTGGAGTGGACTCAAGATTTTTGGCTACTAACAACTATGCACATATTCAGACATGCTGTAGATTTGAAATCTGACACAAGAGACGAGTATTACCATACCACTACTCACAAATCGATTGGGGGGGGATTGGCCGCTGAAACCATTAGTCATATGGAGCAATTGTGCTAGATGTAAGTTCACAGTAAGATCTAACTGCAACCCAGCATTGACTGTCTCCTCCATGCAACCAATCAGCCACCTGGAAACCGTATGAATATCGTTCATATCCTCTGTCCAGTGTTGAAGGCTAGAAACTCGCTCAGGACTACTGATGTTTCCCAATAGTCAGGGCGGTTGTACAAGGCCTCATTCCCAAATGAGTTTTGTCTTTATCGTTGAATCTTGCAGAGGACATGCCCAGCACATTTGGAGTTTTCCTGAAAACGCTACGATTCAGAGAGCATGAACTCGTACAACGAACAAGATACCGAATATGATAAGACATGTCGCTGAAGTGTCCAATACGTCTCCTCAGAGGAGTGACCATTAGACACCAGAATCTCATGTCATACTGCGGGCTACACTCCTGACATTGACTGATCAATGTTTCATGGCCACAAGCCTCGAACACTGCCCCAGCAAACCTTTCCGTGATGAGTCAGCTATTCACTCCGGAGTGGCTTCATAGTTGATGAAATTTCTTCCAACTTAGCTTATTTTAAGCAATCCTTATATCCTAACTGAGCTGAAAGTGAAGCAGTCAATCCCAAGAATACGTTCTTGGAATCAACTAGAAAGAACCGGTCTCTTGCACCGGAATAGAACCGCATCTCCGCACCGCGAACAACGGACACTTCAATGATTGAGCCCATTCCTTCATTCTTGAGAACTAAGTTTTACTGGACCAGATTTATGCTTGGCGATTGACCACCACTGGTGACGGTGATGAGCTTCTATCATGCGTTTATTTACATCTTCGTTGTCTCGAGCTCATCCTTCAAACTGCACGCCCAATTCACTAGCTGTCTCTTGATCGTTTATTGTGTTTTCGGCTCTGGTCTTTCCCACTTGTTCCAAGTGCGGTCACTTCAGTCGTTTGAGGCACCGTAAGAGAGCTGGACCAGTTATATTCCTCCTCTGGACTGCAGGTTGGTTTAGATGTAGCGGGACCAAAGTTAAATTTGATCCTGGCCGCTTTCACATGTCGGTAAGCCACGGGGAGAAAGCTCGCGTCGAATGGCCGGCAAGTGTACGGGTATCCTGATCAGCTGCCAGGCAACGATAGTTATCAATTATTGGGTGTTAGGAGCCAAACTCATCGATTTCAGGTTTTCCATGCTGATCCTTGCAGTTGTAAGTGAACGAGGGAAAAACGTGAGATGTACGAGAAAGGGTGGATGTGTTGCTCATAGTGGATTAGGAACATGTGTTTGACGTGTTTCCGTTGGCGCCTTGGTTCAGGTCAGGTTCCCCTGAACCATCTTGACGCCAGATTGTTTCTAATCTGGAAAATGTCAAAGACAGGCCCTCTCTTCGCAAAGTTTGTTTTATTCTTTTTCCTTGTCTAAATTTTTCTGTTCACTCCCCTTTTGTCAGTGAGTGTTTGCCAAATGTGGCGCCAAAACTTTGTGAAAGTACAAGTTGTTTCATCAAGTGCGCATCAGTATCAAAAATCAGCGAAATGTTTGAACTGTATGAAGAGGCGAGTTTGTTTACGGTTTTTCGGTGGCTTTTAAGGAGGCCAGAGGAGTTAGCACTTGGAGTTAGGATGATTGTCATACGCGATCAGTTTGCACGTCTTGTGATGGTTCACTCGACGAACAAATCTCTATTCAAATCGCCCTAAAAGCGCTTACACCTAGGATTTTGGTAAGCAGACTGCGTAAGATAATTTTAAGCCAGGGTTGTGTGTGGTGTACGCGAACTCAAGTTCACTGTCCCATGGGCATTGTTCTCACGAGCTTTTTTTCTGACAGTTATCCAGAAAAGCATTCATCCCTCTCCCGCACACAGATACTACTTGGTGAACGAACCCTCGGTCGCATGCGTATGCCGCCTGAATATACATTACAACCGATGTAAATAAATAATATATAAATCGTTCAGCTGTAGCACCCTTTCGGTGCCTAGCTGCCTGCCACGATGAAGGAAGCACGAGGGCTGGGCTACTGCCAGGTTGCCTAAGCCTAGACAGGGGAGGTCGAGAGGCAGAGGGGCCGGGTTCGAACCTCGGACCTTCCGGTCAGTAAATTCGCGCTCTAACCACTTGGTCCATCTCGCCCCCACAACCGATATACAGTAGCTTCCGGCCTAATTCGTCATTTACTGCGATCCCGAATACAAATTGAGGCGTGGCTTTAGTTAATTCGCGAATGCGCGATCAACAGATCCTCTTTGTCGTCTCACTCACCTTTTTTCGCATGAACCTGAATTAGGATAGAAATCGGTTAGTCCTCCGAAATCTGGTTTAATAAAACAGAAGCTCGGTTAGTTGTTCCCGTCTGTCACAAACTCCACACTTGTTAACCTAACACAAACAGGCATTTAATGAATCAGTACACTCGGACAGCCCAGCAACTCCCACATCGTCATCATCTTCCTCCCCTCCAAATTAACAGCTGTACCAGCAATGGATTCTCCATCCATTGTTCCCGTGACTCATCCATGGCCGCATACCCTGTCTTACATTTGGAATTCATAGTTTGCCAGAAAAAAAAGAATCCGAACGAAAGATGTACCTGTACTTTTATGGCAGTACAGCTTGCGTCCCTTTGCGCCACTGTCCTGTTAGTCACCTTGTTCAAGGTGTCGTCAGGATGGTTAGGCGTGGCTCCCAGTCTGTGTGTGTGTGTGTGTGCGTGTGTGCACATTCTCGGCGTGTCCATGTATTTTCGAATCCAATTGACAAGTACATTGCTGTCTGAAATGCGAATTTAATTGACTAGACTCGGTACACCACCTGGTTGTGAGGGGAGTGCGCCTCCATATGGTGTCGGCTATCCGCTGTACATGGGACAGAAACATGGGAGAAGGTAATGGCGACAATCGTCGTGGTAACTAGCTTTTTTTCGCGCAGCAAGATGAGACGAGAGTTGCAGCTCAAGCTAGCGTCGTGGTTGTAAAAGTAAGACACTATCCAAGTTCAAAACTGGTAGATTTGTCCTAATCCTCAGAGTGTGTCCCCTAGGCGTTCATAATCCCTGGCTGAGCCAGAGGGATTCCTCTCAAAATGGAAAACCGGGCACCGAGTCACCTCTGCACCCCTCCAATGACTATACTTACCTCAGTATGGCTGGACAGCCCGAGATGACCAAGTGGTTGATGCGCGAAAGGCCCAACTTCTTCATACGGACCGCTCCTGAATAGGCTTTACCAACCTGACAGTCTCCCGACCCTCGTGCTTCCTTTTGGTAGCAATCGTAGGTGTGCACCGAAAGGATGGTACACCTGGAGAATTATCTTCTGTTCTAACCGGCACCCTATGATGTCTAAAATGCACTCAAATCTTGTCAGTGTTCAACTTGTACAACTGCATGTGACATGTAAATTTATTCCAAACTAAGCCGCTACGACGTGTCCCCCCCCAACACACGGGTCTGTCTCATCAGATTCCGTGCATTCACACATTCTATAGCAACCGTTATCACCGTTCGGTCCCCACGTCACTATCTTTCTCTAAAATTCTAATGAACGCACTTTTCGTATCGGGATACATTCATTTCCGAGATCGTGGACCATGTAGAAAAACCCATCATCCTCTTTGGTGTCATGTCAGTATGGTCGACTTGGCGGTATTTTACTGTCTCATTGAATGGGCGTGAGGTGTTGCCATGGGGAACAGTGGAAAACCATTCCGTCAATACTACACACCGATCGTCTACCAGGCTTGGGTTTCATTCATGCATAGTGCACAACTGAGTTTCATTCACCGTTACATTCCATTGTCATCATCATTCCATTGTGATCAACTCGGTGCTCTTTCTATTGTTACTCTGGCAGCAGCGTGCGACTGACTGACAATGGAATGTTGCCACCACTAATTCGGATTCGAAAAGTTCGGTTTGGGACCAACAGTGTATACGATATTCGTCTGTCTCTTTCAAGTACACCCCTCCCCTCGAACAACTGTCCCAACCAACTTAACCAAAACGGCTATCACTCGTAAAGTAAGGGACACGCATTTTCTTGTTAGCCAGCAATTTGCGGGCTATCGCTTTCAGATAACTTGAAACTCGGCCCTACCTGCTGGCTGTCAATTGTTCAGCTTTAACACCCTTTCGGTGCCTAACTGCCATACCACCCGAAGGAAGCACGAGGGCTGGGATATTACCAAGTTGCAAATCCTAATCAGGGGAAGTCGAGAGGCAGAGATCGGATTTGAACCACAGACCTTTCGGTCAGTAAATTCGTGCTCTAAACACTTGGGCCGTCTCGCTCCCCACCATCATGACCGCCGTTGTTCTCATGTCTCCACAAATGACTTTCAGTCGAATAGTCGCTTATTTGGATAGCAGAAAAAGCGAGTTACAGATCCACCAGAAGGTTTAGGCACAATAGTTAGCAATCCAGGATGTATTTGGTTTGCGACGTATCAATCAATCAATCAATCAATCACTACCTCATTGACATTTTCGAGTTCTTGACACCACTTGACTCCATCAAACATTCGATCGCAATAAGAAACATCTAAGCAAGTTGTGAAAGAAGTGTTAGAACATCAACAGATAACTAAGGTTCCTTCTACTTCGGGCTTCTCATATTGGTAACCTTGCTTTTTCGACCCATCAGAACAGAAAACATATTGCATTCCCCGAAGATGCTGCCTCTGAGGGGTGTATTTTACTAAGAAGCCGTTGAAGTAGAAACGATGTTTAGGACGTGTGGAAAAGTGGACATGCAAACGCTTCAAATGGCTAGAAATATCGAAGAGAATCTCCACATGTTACTTCAAGCTAATCGTGTCTTCCATGGTCATTGCTCAGTAATCACGACATGCGAGTTTCTTGACTGAGCGCAACTGTGACAGCGAGCCAATAACCAAGTCCGGGGACAATGCAAACATTGCTCCCCCTTTGACCATTACCGGTCTTGGTAACAGTTAAAATTAGCCTTCTGAAAGGTTCCCAAACCGATTCCGATAAGCAACGCACTCATGGCCCCTTAAAAAAAACAGCACCTGAAACGCCGCTAATCTGCTGGAGGCGGTATCACGCGTGTCCAGTTTCTCACGCGCAACATCAGCCCTATCTTCGTGCGGGTGTGTGCGTCTGTCTACGGTGTGGGCATAGTGTTGACCAGCCTTGTTTGTTCGAATTCGTTCGGTTTGTGTGTTCAGTAAACATGACTTGATATTCGGTGAAAAAGCGTTTGTTCCAGAAAGTTGCATTGAAATTGCTGATAGTGCACAAAAGAGAACGGATCTAGTTGGATGGTACCCAAAGTCGTTTGCGTGACATCTGGTTCGCACGTTGGTCTGTAAATGGGTGTTCGGATGGTACACCAATACAAAGTGGGAATATCATTAACACACGATTCATTTTCTATACGATTTCTAGCCTAGCTGGTGCTAAAGCCGACGAAACATCACAGAGACCAGAATAATCGGTAACTTGAAAAAATAAGACATCCACAGCGCTGATTAGGATAGGGGAAGCATAGCTGTCTATTCGACGCGAGGTGCCCTACAGCCGTTGGATCGGATGAGTCCTCTAATCAGAGCGAACTTCAGACATCACTCGATATAAGTGAATAACGAGTTATGCACGTCCTGTTAGATGCAGACTTTATCACAGGACCGGGCTCGGTGTTTGTCGCATCGAACGTGTGAATGGCCTCTAATCGGGCCGTAGGTACGCAATAGCGTCATCATTAGAGAATAGGTATCTTTTAGTGTCCACTTGAGCATAGGCGATCCGTCGTTCGAAAATAGCCTACGACTATGGGCAAATTCCGCACCCACGTAGGTGCTAGCCGCGCGATTGATCTCGAACCGCCAGAAGATTTTCAAATTTAGCGATGAGTCATTAGCGCAGACCTAACCGCTTTGGGCATCAAAGGAACGCTGTGTAAAAGCAAAGCACAGTACAGATCAAACGGTGCGCACTCGGTGAAAACAGAAAACAAAAAAGTAAGCCATTTATTCATTCCGAGGTTGAGCTGAGCCTAATGCAAAGGGAGACATGTGACCAGCAATAGTGTGTATGTGTAACAATACCGCCAGTTTCATGTGGCCATGTCAATCCGACTACAAAGGTTGACAAATGTGCAGCCAAGATGGAGAAGTGAAGGAAACAACCCAAGCAATGTCATCACAGGTTAGTACATGAACTGCTGTATACTGTCCGAGGGTAGCTCTCAATAGACTACTTCGCAGCTGTTATTTTGACAATGTCCATTTCTCAAATATCGGTGCCAGAAACAACAATTGAGGGCAATTTGTTGTTTGAAAACAAACAAGAAGGGGAGGAAAGGGTAATTCTGACAGGCCATTGGGTATGAGTGTGTGGGTTTTTGTGTGAAGTCCTCTTTTCAGGGACCAGTCAGTCGCGCGTAATATTGCTTAAGTTAACTTTTCAGACGTGAATATGAGTCGGAACCCACCACACTACTAATCAGTCACCCGTAGCTGTTCATTTCCCGTGTCAGGAGTCTAAGGCTCCTGTCCGAATAGTGCTTCTTGGAAAGTACGTTTCCATGGCCTACTTATAAAGATGGTGACTTATATGTACATTCGCAATGCACTGCTGATAAGGTTGCTGAAAATCCGTCGACAGCCCACGACCGGTTTCGCCCTTCTTGGGGCTTATCAGGTAGTCCCCGAGTTTCCGTCAGCCTTATGTGCTACTTGAAACCTGCAAACATCACAAACGAGAGATTCAGCTGGGTTCCAGGTGAATCTGTCGCAAGACTAAATTTATTTGCAAATGAGTGTATTTCGCTAGTAGTGACTTACGGTTTAAGGCTTAAGACCTCGGCGTACATCAAGCTTCAAAAGTGTGGCCGCACTGATTGCAGTTTTGAGCGAGAACGTATATGCATATAGAGGGGAAGAGTCATGACGATTTCCGCTTTCTCCATATGTTGCTTGAGGGGAAACGCTGCTTCCTGGCTTAGATGGGGCTGGAGCAGAAAAGCCTGGTCGCTAATTAGAAAGACTAACTAATTCAATGTGATGACTAGGAAGCTTATACCCTGCGCACAAGACTGAAACGTTTCCCCAGAGGCTGTGGCCAGGGTTTGGGCTACTTCACTCTCACCACCCACCCTCTGGGGAATATGAGACCACTGACGAACACACTGCCTGTTCTGACCACCCTTCTGAGTCGGAACCCAGCTTGGGTCAGTTTTGATATTTCCGAGTTGTGTGACCCACAACAATAGTGTCTTTTGATGTTTTTTTCTGAAGTTTTGCCACCACAGAGAATGTGTTCATCTTATTGGCGGGGTTGCATCGTAAACTGCAAGCGGCAAGAAGGAAGTAGAATGAAAACAATGACTTATAAACAATAAAGAAGAACTATGACGAGCCAGACTTACTTAGAGCTCGGAACAATGTTCAAATGATTGTAGGGTGTCTAAATCATACTCAGATAAATTCTGAAATAAAGTAGAAAAAGCGCTTGGATGGAACGTGGTGCAGTACGACGGACGCCATGCTGGTATTCGTCCTCAAGCGTACCCGAAGTTAGAAAAGATGTCGGCGGGAGATTCGTGCCTGAAACACTGGTAGTTGAGGCATTGAATTGAGGGATTGAAACAGACAGACAACAGTAATGTGATGAACAGCGAATGGGTGCAGTACGGTTCTAATACGGGTCAGTTTAAGTACAGTATAGATAAATAGCCTACGATCAGTTATGGTAAGTTGTAGCAATCCAATTAGAATACCACCAATGCGGCAGTCCCCAGAACGAGCGAAAGGTCAGAGAAGGGAAAACGTCCCGTGGGAGCTGACTATGAGAGCAAAGTAGTTGAACAGTTGATGCTTGATGGTCCTGATTGCAGGCAAACAACGGTCAGCACACACGCATTCTGTCGGAAAAAGGCACAATTTGAAGTACACGCCATATCGCCTACAGTCACGGCGCTCAGTATTCGCACAATGGAATTGAATTTTCAAAAGTTATGACGTGTCCCTGATGGACTAAAACAATTGGGCAATTGAGTTGAGAGTACCAGTCCAAACTTTTAAGCCCCTTTCGGGCATCTCGGGGTCTCAGCGATGCTTGGAAATTATCCAACAAGACTTTTTAGCCAGAGGCATGGTTGCTTCAGTGAACAATGAAATTTGGTGAGCTGCAAAAATGTGAACGTAGATTAGAACGGTTTTTGGTTTGAGCACATATGCAACAAAATGCAACATTTTGGCGTAAAACGTTTTAATCCACTTGTAAAGGTTTTGCAGCTGAGAGCGTTGTGCGGATAATGGGCACCTACAGTCACCCCTCAAGATATTCAAAAAATATGGGACATAGAGACACAAGTCAACCAATAGTCGTGTGGGGCGGATCAATCCCGGAGACACTCTAGATCGTGTGACCTTGGGCACATGCATTCTCAATGCAGGACGGGAATGATCTTGAGCAGGCGGTGTACTGCTCGTTTCGGCGTAATCAAGACATCATCATTACCACCGTCACACACTGACAATACCAGAGGAAGTCCTTCACTGCCGTATGACCTTATCAATTTATTTGATGGAGAAAACAATGGGAGAGAGAGGGGGCTTGATCAGACGGATACGGCAAAACCGTTCGTGTGGTATCTGATCACGTGACTCTTAGACGCGCCTTTCGGCTGCCCCACTGGGTAGATTAATCAAAATACTCATTTCAATCTCCATATTAGGATGGTTGAATGGCGCCAACTTGGTCAGTTGACGTCGTAACTTTCCCTTTGAACACCTACTAGTGTCATACAATGCTCTCACAGGGAAATGTGTAAAAAAACAACATTGCACCCTAGCGGATTACCTTTCGCACGCGAGACACACCTGTCTTGACTAGGCTAGACAGAAAACAACCTGTTGTGGCATCATCAACACCCTGTAAGTCTTGTGTGTTGACCCCTGAGTTTGTCGCGCACGAAAAAACATTCATAATTAAACACAGACCGAACAGGTGGTCGTGGTAATTAGAATATTACACCTGTGTGTCGTCCGTTTGGATTATGCAACCCGAAACAGCTGTCGTCTCTGTACGAATGAGTCAGCTACCTGAACAATTGGCGACGGTGGGAGGAAAACGTAGTTGCATTGAGGGCATCAGTGTTCACACCGTAATTCCGTAATTCAGTAGACAAAAAAACTTGGATAATCAAACACCGATATACGCAAAACCACCACCGTTTGTCAACTTGTGAATTTACTCATCAGTCTGCTTATGGCGACGAGACGATTGTTACCAGATGGTTGCTACCATTCCGCTTGTCTGGTTTTCCAGGAAAAAAACCATATACAGAACCGGCGTTACACACGGAACATTTGGTAAAAAGCAAGGCCTTTTTTGTCGGAGACTAAAACGATAATCGTGTTCACTTGATGGTATAACTGAAGTTGATTAATGTGATAATTATGTTCTACCAAAGGGTACGAGTGAACGATAGCCACCAACCAGGATGACGGAATTCGCCTGGTTCGTATGCTTGGAACATATATGAAAAAAAAACGATTGAAAAGATTGCAACACACACAGGGTTCCAACAGTTGTGTGAATTACACAGAAAGTTTGTGTTTTGTATGGGGATACCAATGTCTCTAACTAGGTTCAGAACAATTGTGATCTGTCGTTCAAAAGCTGGAAACGGCAAGTAATTTCATCTCATGCGAGTTCAAACCGTTGTCCGTATATTTGAATATAGCTGGGTCGTAGTGAGCTGTACTGACGACCATGAGAGCACCATCCCCTTCAAATTCTGTTTCTGTTTTGGTCGCATATACGCTGACATGTATTCAGTATGATCACACAGATACCGGAAATTTTCCCTTTAGACATTAGAGATAAAAAAAATTCGTCTTTCAGTATTTTAGGCATGCACGATTTTTGAAGAACAGTCACTCTGTCTCGAATGAGTGAACATCTTGAAGGGGACACCGATGTCAGCAGTCATCCTACTTAGGGCTATCTGTAGTTTGGGTTAGCTGTCATCGGGACCAAGTGATAAACAGTGAGTAAAACGCAAAATTGACGGAAAGACGAAGCACTTGATCACCTTCGTCATTTGTTGATTTTTTCTGGGTGGGAGTTCATATCCTCTAGCTTACTGCATGACGGGGGAAGTTCCCCCAGCTCGAAGAAGAATAACTAACACGGATAGCTTCCGACTGCATTTCCCAGATCAGATGTGAGCCTTCTAAAGAGAAAAGTCTAGTGACCCTTCTCCCGGAGGTGTACTCTGTTAATACTGGTATCCCCGGTTCATGCACACATCATCGGACTTTCACATTGCCACAGAGATACCGCGAAGAGCGTTAGAAGAGGTATTTTGGTTGTACGCGAGATTGGATACTGTTGCGATGGATAATAAACGAATGGGAACAAGAAAAATGGAAGTGGAAGAAAGCACTTCAAACCTTATACGAAGAAGCGTTCACTGGACTTGTGCCATTAGGATGATGAGAGAAGGACTCTTGGTTCAGATAGTTTCCTTGATTTTATGTTTTGAAGATATTACCTTAGGCAACAACCAGCAGGGCCGGAATACCCAACATTTCTGGTACAAACAACGGATCGATCGGGTGTATGAGGAATGGATCTTCAATGGGAATTTGTTCCAATCTATGCTGAGAAGCAATGTTTCATCCTTACTGGTAATCAGGAGCAGCGCGACAGCTCCCTCGACCCGAATGTCTAATTCAACACCCGATTGAGCAGCGTTCAGATGCTCGAGGGCCAACGTCAATAAGATACTCTATAGGTTGGGAATCCACCCAAATATGAAACCACCCAGTCGTAGTCCAATTTATCAGTCACGGTAAAGCGGGCACACTAATTTGTTGTCGCATGGACTCAGAATGAGCACCGCAATATTTTGCATCTCCTAAAAGCCATAGTTCCTAATTTATCAGTTTGTGAAGCAGCTTGTCGAAAGGGTATACTCAAATTACGGTATTTTGTGTTTGCGGCAATTGTTTTGTTTCTATTCTTTTCAAAGTAGTTATTGGGATGCGTGTGATTTCCCCAAGGGAATGATCTGTAGGAGAAAACCTTTGAGGCCTAGATTGCTTCATACCACTGTAGGCCTTGTCTGTATCAATAAAATTCAAAAGGTGCATATTGATTTTATGTGTGGGCTTTCTACGTCCCGATTCGGATATGCCTGAACGTCACGCCACCCCGGTGACGAATGCTAACCGACCAACGAATCGGCGGTCTATCTCGGTTGGATGGAACTTGATGATATCCAGTAGTTTGAACATTGTCACGTCCGGACGTTTGTGTTGTACACTTCGGTTGTGTGGTTTTGTCCACGTCCCCACCGCGATTGTTGTGTGCGACTTCAGCGAATACGTGACATACAGCTAACTGCGAACGCGTCCTCATTTTGGCCAGGTTTGAATATTCTCTGAAGTATATCCCTCTCCAGTTTATTTACTTCATCTCAATATCTGCTAGCGAATTCACTTCGAGTGACATGATCACGGTCGTTTAAATGGTTTGCTTTACTTTCCGAACTCCATGGTTCTTCAGTACCACTATTCTATTGAAGGTGTATCAAAGTATCGTTCTACTTGTCTGTTGGTGTTCTGCATACTGGCGATCAAAATGTACGCACTAACCGAACCGTTAGAATTGTCACCCGGGCATAATTTATTCCAATAACTACACAGATTCGACTACTACTACGGAAGAACAAGCAGCCTTTCATGGACCGTTATAAACGCATATGAAATTCGTGCACTTTCTCCGAAAGTCAAAATTAATGGGTTCGCTGTATCAGTTTCCTTTACATGTTTTTTCTATTGGAAACTCGTCTGATCGCAATAGTTATGTTCCCGCAGCGCACGTACTTGCATCGCGTGGGAGGTATTCACCTAAGCTGCCACCTTGAGTCCCACAATGGACGTCACGTGATCTAATATTGATTGGCCTTAGAGGCAACTTAGTCAAACTCCATTTTGAGCCGTCCGTGGATGTAGTTTTCAGATATGGGTTCGATCTCCACTGAGATTCGTGAAATCCATCCCCACAGATGCTTCCGAACAATGGTGAAACAGCATCCGGGTTGCTGAGTACCCATTAGCGTCGCCTGCAGAACGAAGCCAGGCAGTGCTAAAGGCGGTCTATCTCGCTTATATGCTTACTAATGTGCTGTTGCACACAAGGGTCCTACACACCTTCATTTGACGTTCCATGCTCCCTCCGTCCATCAGCAACCAAATTCAGGTACCGGATCAACTTGCTGGTAGGTAAATAGTGAATCCACCCGGAGGTACTCTTGTGAATACTGTTTTTAGAGATGGATAGGTGTGCGATTCAATGGATAGTTACATTGCACCACTTGGTCTCCTGTGGGCTCGAAACAAACGGACACAACCCTTCAATTTTCCTTTTGAGCCTCAAAAGGATATTCTGTCATTTAGCGCGAATCTACTGACCGGAAGGTCTGTGATTCGAACCCGACCCCTCTGCCTCTCGACTTCCCCTGTCTAGGCTTGAGCAACCTGGCAGTATCCCAGCTCTCGTGCAACCTTTGGGCGCCATGGCAGTTAGGCACTGAAAGGGTGCTAAAGCTGGACGATTTTTTTTATTTAGCAATAACAGGAACGTCCAGCCTTTGTCCGTATCACTGACTGCCACCACGAACCTTCCATTTTCAACACATTTTGTCCAGCAGTCCAGCGAAGCAAATGAACACTCGGCTAATTTAAGATATTCGCGGAATTAAGCCCACGGAGTCTGCCTAACATCCCAGTGTCCTTAGATTACTGTCTGGTGCCCCCTCCGTTCTTCTCAGAAGACTGTAGTCCCAAGACACCTTGATTGCGCAAGCAATCTTGGGAGTCAAGTCAACCCATTTCTCCTTGAAGAGATTGCTCCATTTTTCGTACGTACGGCGCATTGAGCCCGTGTTCATTTTTTGTTTGCTTTGTCACTGAGACTGTGGAGCAGGACCAATGACGGTTGACGGCTTCAAGAGTTTTTCTGTTATTGGTGCCTGATCCCACCTGTCTGCGTTTCACCCGTTCTGAGAACTGACTAAACCCAGTCACGTGACATTCAGTGTATCGGTTTTGACAACTGTGGTGTGACAAACTGCATTAGGTGACTTCCACACCGAATCATACAAACGGAGACTGACTGCTGCTGGACTCATCATATTCGGTGGTAGTGATGTGATTTTTGTGACACTCACTGAGAGCTGTTGGTCCACCGGTAAAAAAACTCAGCAGCTATCGTTTGCTACACATGGAATGCGTGTTTAGGGGTTAGAATGCTCGGTACCGATCCAGCCGCAATCTGACCTTTGGAACGCATGTGTAACACGGAACATGTAACAATGTTGTTTCGGTCCGATGTTGAACCGAATCTCGGTCCGATGTTACAAAATCTGGTTGTCGTTGCTGTTTTTGTTGTCATCTTTGTTCTATTGTGTGTGTGTGATTGTCCAAAACGTTTTGGTTCGATTCACCACCACGCAGTTGAATTTGGCTGATCTTTGATACATTTGTGTCGAATGTTGAGCGTGTAGGACACGGTCTGTGTGTGTACTGCCTCGGCTGACTGTTTGTGTGTGTGTGCGTATTCGGAAAGTAACGAGACCATTTTTGTTGACAAGGCAACATGTTTTTCAGCACTCGCGAGAGTTCGGAAGATATCGTCTGACCATGCTGTGCTACTAACTTTTTCATGATGCTCGCTGGATTCTGAGAACTGGCGAATAGATTCCCTGTGGCACAAACCAGAGCTTTCCGTCATATTATCGATGCATTATCTATTTACTACTACTGTATTATTCATTTATTACGTCATATAATAAGACCGAATACTCGATAATCACACCTTGACAAGTGATAATGACCTTGAACAAGAGTGCACGGTACGTATCATATCCGTTTCAGGACTCGACACCTGTATGAAACAGAGGCGATGTCAAAACAACAAAACTTCTCACGAGCACTTAGTTTGCAACTTATTCGGTGTAAATGCGTTGGTTCAAGCTGGTCCCTCTCCCGGAGTAAGCCCCTGCTTCTGGAAATTGACTGTACTAGTGCTTCCTTTGTAGACATTTTCTGATTTACACTCATTTGTAAATCAATTTGGTTTTCTCGAGAGATTCGACTGAACCTCTCGTTTATGATATTCTACAACTGAAGTGCTGCACATAGGCCGCCTCATGATTCAGTTGGCACGATATTCGAGATATTGCAGTATATTTTCATAGAAGAAACTATTCACAAGGTTGCTGAAAACTCTTCGAGAGCCCGGCGGCCTGTGTGCAGCACATTCACTTGTAGAATATCATAAACGAGAGATTCAGTTGAGTCTCTTGTGAAAACCAAATTGATTTGCAAATGAGTGTATTTCTCGAAAATAGTCCAATTTGGATTCAAGTAGATCATAAGTTTGACGGAACCTCGGGGACTGCGCCTAGCTGATGAGTCCAAAGAAAGGCGAAACTTGTTGTGGGCTGTCAACGGATTTTCAGCAACCTTGTGAGTAGTTTCCTTCATGAAATTTTCTGGTTTTGTTTGTCACGGACTGCCATTTTGCAATTTCGTTTTCCCTCCCACACTTCGACTTTTGCAGTAGAGCTATGGTGTGGAGCGGCAGTTTCTTGTTTCACAAAAAGAAAATGTTACTTTGTTCATGATACTCAGCTGGAATTTCACAAAGCCATCTTTTTTTACTGGAATACATGACATCGTAGAGGGGGGGGTGGGTGAACTGCAAAGTCAGGAGGCTGGCTATAAAGTACAGAAACACCAAAAATGATACTGAGTCACGATGCATCCAACACAGTACATGAATGTCAACTCGTGATTTAAAAACAGTAGAATTTTAACGATGGGAATGCGTTTCATAGATTAACCGTCCTAGGAAAGAATGAATAGGGACAGAGTACCCTTCGAGATAGCCACTTTGAGGTAGTGGCTGGTTTCGCGAGGACAAGTGGAGTGAACGACGGGTGGCGGATGCAGCTCCAACAAGCTCTGAAGGTCATCAACTTTGGTGGAAGCGGTAGAACACCTACACAGAGAGACAAATGACTGAAAGCAGGCAGGCAGGAACAGGTTGCCGGTAAGACGAATATCGGTGAAAGGGAGAAGGCCTTTGCTGCGGAGTTATTTATTTGAAAATGCCAACTGACCGGCTACAGACCATTGGACAAGGAAGAAAAACTCTAATTTGCATCTTGTTTACAAAACTGGACATCCATCTTCTCCTGAACGCGTCTTTTTGGACTTTCCTGGAGATTCATTGACTCCAATCATTGCTCGCTCAAATCCAAGCAAATGTTACAAAGTGACTTCACAAATTCCGCAACAGATCTCCCCTTTTCAAAAGACGCAAAGCGAAATTCCACGAACAACACATACTACTCGCGTGCCTCCCTATAAGTAGTATCACTGTTACATTGGTAGCTTAGATGGCGTTGGTTTATTCGCTGAACTGGGTGGTTTGATTGCGAACGCTTCAACACCAATCGAGATGACATCATCGACACGTTGTGAGGGAATGGGGCGTGCTCAACGTGCACTCACTACTATACCGCCACACTTCACTCCGCTCCCTAACAGCACACTGATGATATCACCTCGGCTGGTGATAAACCGTTTGCAATCAAATTTCCCAACTCAACAAACAGATGACCATGCTCCCTCGGGTGACATCCTTGTGACATCCTTGACTCAACAAGTTGGAGCGTGTTGGAGAACCAAGTCAAACGTGGTTTGTCAAACATAAAACCACTCGGACAGTGGCAAAGAATTTTTGGAACGGAAAACGGTTCCAGCTACCCAAACTATCTAAAATACTGAACGCGGTCGCCTAAACCGTCAGCATTCTCAAGGAACTTCACCGTTTGTTGCTAGACACACCATCATCATCGACAGCATGACATCAGTGTTCAGCACCGATGCTTCACTGCCGTACAACCATGATTTATTTGAAAGCCTTATTGTAAAGAAAAGAGTAAAGGTGGACGGGGGAGGGACTTAGTGCTAGCTTACCACAATCATTCCGAGGTGCCTACACCTCCAGACATTCACTCAGGTGGTCTGGATAGAAACTGACAACAAGAACGCCACTGACATCGGTTGGCGGCCATATCTTGTAGTGTCTCCAACCAGGCACAGTGAGGATCACGCGGTCCCCATCCTGGAAGGCGAGTAGCACCGACAGCACCCAAGCGTCTGGTGATCTCCTTCATACTCCTCTGCCAAGTCAAGGGTTGACCACCTCTCTGTTTACGCCACTCTGAATTGGGTATTGACAACAGCATTCTCTTCGGCAACTGATGGTTTGGCATACGCAACACATGTCCCACCCAACACAGCTCCTGATGCTGGACACATTCTTTAATGGAAGTACCCGTCGCACAACCGAAAACGCGCTTTCTAACTGCCTCGTTACGGATTCGCTGACACCAACCCACACAATCATGGTACAGTTTATCATATGTGAGCTGATGGTCGAGGGGGTCCAAGCGTGATCGATGCCTTTTCGTCACTCCTGTCTAAACCTGGATAGCCAAGTGAATCGTAGATGGAGTTGGCTTAACGGAGTTGGTTGGTGTAACCAACAAATTGAGTGGAAGCGGGATTATCCAATGGATAAGATGCGAACTAATGATTAGAAGATCCGTGGACAGAGTTCCCGCCCTGGCTGTTCCTGTCCAAACTCGGACGATCATCGTGTTCTTTGGCAATGAATGGCAGCTATTCACCGAAACAGTCGTATAGCTGGACGATTGAACTTGTCCAACATTTGTGATCTGATGGAAATCGATACAAGCTTTATCGATGCCACCTTCATCATCTTAGTCATCATCTTAGTAACGGTTTGTTTTTCCTAGCGGCAGCTACAGTCCCAATTTAGAAAAAAAATCAGTTCACATAAAACCAGTAACCCCCTGTCTTGGATATGCCGTTAATCCAATGGGTGCTTACTTCATTCAGTATCTTCTCCCCACGCGATTGCTTATCTCCATAAACTTTGTACTCACATTCGTTTTATCACTTTTCTCTTTCGTATATTGAGATGACATTCACCAACAAATCATGATTGATTCCCTTGCTCGGATGACTCAGCTGTGCCAGCAACAAGCGTCACTCACGTTACAAGTACCTTTTTTCTCATCCAAATGCGCGCGCACACACACACACAGCGTCTCCACCTTTTCCCGAAACCTTGCAACTGTTTACTAATTACTGAGACACGCCAGCAGGTGAGTCCATACTGACGACGGGGTGGGGACTTAATCCAATTATATCGGCGCACAGCACGGATACACACACACACACACACACACTCACGTCACTTTTAATTACCTACTTGGGTATATTCCAATCCGAAGGGAAGACAAATGGATTGTGCTCACATATTTTGACACTCGGTTATGGGCTTATATTACTGGTGAGTTTTTTTCATCTGGCATCTGTCGCGACTGATGCCTATGATTACCGACAAGGTGCATTTATGACTTTAATAGCGTTCGAGCCTAAGAGCTGGTCTCAAAGAACGTGTCCATACTCCTCTGATAGCCGATGACTGAGCACGCGGATCAAAAGGAGGGAGGCATCACTGGTTTGACGCGTCACTTTGCCGATTAGCTATACACAACCGAGTGGTCGAGTATCCAACTCGCACCATCCAAACAGGTGAGAGTTCGAATCTCCCCTGATATTCTCAAGGTAAGACTTTTTCCCTTTATCTCAGCATAGGGCACGACAAGAGCTGATGGTTTTCACTCGACCTATGTAAATTGCTCAAAAACAGGGATTAAAATAAAACGGATAAGTTATTGATCTAAGTCAGCTTGAATTCCAACTATCGATTTTTCCACCGGTTAATTCGAATGAGATAAAAAGAACGGTGAATGATTATTTGGAACCAGGGTATATCAGATAAACGAAGGTGTTCGACTTTCAGAGAGTATTCAAAAACGAAAACAGAAGGTTTCAAGATGAATTCATCAGAACCTTTTCAGTGTGGAAGTCCAATAAATACAGCTCCAGCTGAACCTGTTCGTGTTTTACAACCCCCGACTCCAAAATGTCATGAACCGTATCAGAAAATGTCCAGTCTCAAAGGAAACAAGATTAACAAGCTTTGCACCCTCGCATCCAGGCCAAACTCCTCGGATGTTTTAGACTCTGTTGGTGATTGAAAGTTCCCACCCACCCCCCTGCCCGTAATTCGGGTTCATCCTATTTACCATAGCCAAACTGGTAAACGAGTGCTTCTCGCCTGACTGATTCTTTGTTCGGAACCCGCCGGAACAGCAACAGCAAGGTTTGTTTGTTCATCGTCAGTGAATTAGATGGATGGCATTCCGAAAAATTAGATTATTTCATCTTTTAGCCCCCCTCGCTCTTGTCTGTCACGGAAGAATGAACTTTAGTCAGCGAAAAACCCGTCCACAAGCAATGTACGTGCTTGTGTTTGGACGCACGTGTTTTCTCGCGAGTCTGAAAATGGTTCTAGATTTTTCCAGGGGAAATGTTCACAGTGATTTTCTTGCGTTGGCTCTGTTTACACAGCTAATTTGTTCTTTTTTTCTTCAAAATTGGTTACAGCCGTATGCGGTTTCCCAACCACTACCCTGGCGGCCGTCTTGGTACTTTGGCAGACTGTTCTCAACCTACTCGTGAGTGCAGAAACGGTAGGCGAGCAGATCAACTCCGAACAAAGTGCCTGCGTTCAGTCGCTATTTTCGGACAGGTACCGCATTCCCTCAACAGCATTCACCGCCACAAGCGAACAGGTTGACACCACCGGATCTCGACGATATGCAGCCGACGCATTGCGGTGAGTAGCCTCTCCCATCATGCTCGTTTGTTTTCTGGTCATGTTGTTTGATTCCACAAGTGCCTTTGAGCAACAGGGTCATGATCTGACAGTGCTTTTTTTTACAATGAACTGAAGAAGTGTAACTGTACTTACAGATTCAACCGACAGTACTAATCTGTTGTATTGTGGGTGGCCGTCTATTGGGGTTACGCCTGCACTGAGCCTGCCAGACTACGCGATAGGGAGAAGACAGAGAACTCGGGACACGGCTGTATTGTCAAGACAAAACATACAGAGCGTCTGCGTAAATATATAGGATGACTAAATGGTCAAATATGGTCGTTCACTTGTCCGTTCTGTACAGCCAGTGTTCCGGCCGTGAGCACTTTCAAACCCACTACGCTGGTCGTATGTTGCTAAGCCGTGTTCGGTGAGAGCCGCCAACTCACCTACTTTCCGAACGTGTCGTGCCGATGGTGACCTTGGGGATGCGTCACTTTCTGCACATGTACTTTTTTCATGTCTGGGCGCGTCCTGACATAACCGAATTGTTAAACTATTTAGTTTTGTTCAAGGTTTAAACCACTGGTTTTAGATAGTCCTCATTTAAATTTGAACGATTTCGCTTGAAGAAAACGTGATTTAATGAGGATGAGTCCTACTGGGTACGTAACACATGAACAAACAATCGAGACATTCTACTCGACGGGGGTGTTGCTGCTCTAAAAGCGTAGCAAGCACGAAATGCTTCCCGGGTCTTTCTGACAAAATTTCGGTTGTCTGCGATTGCCCCGGGGAGCTATGATCGATTTTTCTCCTCGTTTGACTGAGTATGCGTCTGTACCTGGAACACACCAACAGATCAATATAATGTGAACCTGTCTGGCGTTTCATCTCGTCACACTCGTCACTGTCCTAACAACAAAGCGACTATTGAGAAGAATGTTGGTAGCTCAGCGAACAGGTCAACAAAGTCATTCACAACGACAAACATCTTCGTTGTAAATTGCTTCGGTCAGATCCATACTCTGTTCAATCCTCGCTGCGGTTGGGACGAGTTTCGACCAATGTGATTGTGCATTGGTCTACTAATCTATCCGGTGCTGGACCGTTAGTTTGAGGGATGACCTTGATTGAGCGATAGTCACCGTTGTCACCATTGTGCCCAACCGCCGTATATTCGTGCAGGACAAATGCTCTAGTAAAGATCGATATGCAAAGAGTCTTGTGACCTTTGAAGGGTTGGAGCATACATCTGAGTATAATGTTCGAGTCAGCAGTAGAATTGATCCAACACAAACTGGGCTGAACAGTTCGATTAAGAAGCGACAGTTTACTAGGATCGGTTGCATGCCATATCCTGCAGGGTCTCCAACCAGGTGCAAGTAGGATCACGTGATTTCCATCTAGGAAGGCGCACAGTTTGAAGGTATCCCCTTCCTTGAAGTAATGCTGGGTTTCGTTGGAACAGGTCCTGTGCATGCCCAGCGACCTTTTGCCGATAACCTTATTCTCTCCATTCCTGCGAAAAGATCACAGAGACAGACTGAACTGAATCCCAATTGAATCTCTCGTTTATGGTGTCCTTCCACTGAGTATGCTGCACACAGGCCACCTCATTGTCCAGTTGGAAGTGCGATATTCGAGATATCGCAGTATATTTTCATGAAGGAAACTACTCACAAGGTTGATGAAAACTCTTCGACAACCCAGGACCGGTTTCACCCTTCTTGGGGCTCATCAGCTCCCCGAGCTCCGTCAATCTTATTTTCCACTTGAAGCTAAATCGTATGCAATTTGCGAACTACACTCATTTGCACACCAATTTAACTTTAACAGAGTCTCATTTGAATCACAGCTGAATCTTCCTTAACTGAATATGATGCACAAAGGCCACCACCTCATGTTCCTCTTGGTGCGATATTCGAGATTCCACTGCCCACTTTCCCGATGGAACACGACTCCGATTTCTCGAATATCACACGTCCAACTTAACAATGAGGCAGCCTTTGTGCAGCCTGAAGAATATCATAAACGAGAGATTCAATTTGGGTCTCCGGTGAAAACCAAATTGATTCGCAACTGAGTGTATTTGTCGTAATCAGTCCAATTTGGATTCAAGTAGGGAATAAGGTTGACGGAGCTGGGGGACTGCGCCTAGCTGATGAGCCCCAAGAAGGGTGAAACCGGTCCTGGGCTGTCAACGAGTTTTCAGCAACCTTATAAGTAGTTTCCTTTATAAAAAATATACTGCGACATCTCGAATATCGTACTTCCAACTGAACAATCAGGCAGGCTTTGTTCAGCACACTCAGTTGAAGAACACCATAAACGAGAGATTCAGTTGGGATTAAAGCACGTTAAAGCACAAACAGATATGAACAAAGTCAATTCATTGGAAATGGCAAATAAGCATACAATACCTAAACTACCCCTCCTAGAAGACTGCACTAGGTGGACAAGCCTTCGATAAGACCAGGCAGTGAAAATCTGTTGCGGAAGAAAACGGGGATGCTCATTGTCTGGCGGTCGGGGGCATCGGAGGTCTTGCTTACGCAGTCGTTGAGATGGTACCATGGCTGATAATGGATTATTTAGCTTATTTAGTTATTTGCACCGTGTGGATGGGTTGGCTGTGCTTGGCCAACCAACCTGAAAGCACCATGTCACAGCAGGCGCGATCTTCTCGTAGTTGCAGACATTAGGTTCTATATCACTACGGGATTGTCTTTTCTGGATTCTAGACGGCCTGTCCGAACGCATCAACACGTACAATGAAGAATTCAGTGGTGCTTAACTGACCCACCGCGACATCGGAACAAAGTTGTTCTTGTCACGAACAACGGCTTCTTGCTTTTTGGAAACTCGAGAAATCAACATCAGGAAAGTGAACAATAAATGGAGCGAAGAGACTAGAAAGGAAGGTCACTTTGTAAGGAATTTGGAATACCATATGCAAGATGGGATATACAGGATAACACTGAACAGCTTGGGAAGATATTTTTCGGTGAAGCGTCGACGGTAAGGGATATAACGTCCAGAACCAGTGTTACCCAAGAGAGGACTGGTACTCGCTATATGTGACCTCAATTAGCAAGGTCGGATGAGATACAACTGCAGGAGTTGAACCTGCATGGACGTTGATACAGACCCAGAATTCGAGGCGCCAGGCGCCTCTAGGGTGGGTGACCTAAGTTCGTCATTGCTGATAACTTCATGTCATCCAAAACGCTCTTCGGTAAAAAAACGTTTCCATGAGTCGGGTTACCCTAAAAGGATCTTTCAATGGACGCGTCAGCAGTTCATGATTTCCATTAATGCGTGAGTGCATGTCGGATGAAAACGTTGCGTCTAGAAGGGCTGGCGTCGCTAGAGCGAAAGATACGTAATCGGGCAGGGTGATGCTTGGCGAACGTTGCCTCGTAGAGGAACAAACGTCAAAAGTAATCTGTGAGGCGATCGTAAAACAGCTCGACACTAGAGACTTTATAGGTCCGCTCTAGGCTTCGAACGGATATCTAAAAGGACCACAGGAATGGTGTTGGTTCAGTGGATAGTACCTCAAGCTGACGATGAAATCTTCAAATCATACTGTTTGCCTACAAGTCGTCGGTGTTAGTGTGGATCCAATGAGGGCCTAGCTTCTTAAGGGTCAAAGTAAAATATTGTGTAACTTGGAGCCTCAATCGTCGATGACAGTCTCCGGGTAGCTGTACATGGCCATCCAGCGTTCTTTGAATATTCAGAGACTGGTCTCAGCGATTTCGTGTCGTACAGAGATGGCCTCAGGTAACTGGGTGTAGCATCCGACAGTCATAAGGAAATAGATAATCCTTTGAAGGATAACAAGGTTAATCTGGGATCACGTGAATTAAGTGACCAATGGGAGAGGAAGAGTGGCGCTGGATTTTGACCAGAGAGGAACAGCCCACGCGTGTATACTTATCCACACCAGGCCAGACATTGAGCTGGGATGGGCAGTGCCGTGGAGAACATCGGAGATCTGCTGTCTGAAGGTGGTAGGTACGGTAGAGTGCGGATATCCGGCGTAGGCGTCACGGGTGATGAGGTCCGCGAAGTGAGCAGTTCATATAGGCGGGTAGAATGCCCGGTTACTCACGCTGGGTTGCCACCTTGGCGTTAAAGTCGATTTTGGTCTATAGGATAGATGAAACACTCTTGAAAATGTGTTAGACACCATCTTCCCTCTACCATAAGTGTACCGAGCTTCCATGCTAAACTGCCACCAAGTCGGGATGTCGAATTTTTCCAACAGAGTAGCTTTTCGAGCTCGTGATCAATACTGGGAGTGCCGGACGGCGGAGTGGGTACCTACGATGTTACGGGCGCGATTAGCACTAATCCACATATACCACAAATGTATCAGTCGATCACATATTGTCTTCTATTTGTTGGTTTCCAAATGTTAAATCTCCAGCTGTACAAAGCGACCGTCTATGTCCCAGCTAAATGATCGTCATCGTGATGGGAAGCACACCGTGATTTATGTTACGTAATCTCTCCACTTTGATGTTATAGCTGCAGTCTTACAGGTATGAACTACAAGTGACGTTCCTTTGCGCAACGAGGGAAGTCTCTGAAACAGTATTTTTGTGGGCTAGCGCATCGCGTGTGTGGAACTGAAAAGTTGACGGGCTTGGTACAAATGTGCCTTATTTTTTTACACTACTCATGAGTAGTGGTGAGCAAACGTAGAATAATAGGTCTCTGCAATGAACTGAGTCGAATTTCCAGGTTTACGAATTTCTCTTCCAAGACCATACATACACTTTTGAGGGTAACTGAAATGAAGGCCGAACAACGTCCAGACTAGCTAAATCAAATCCGACCGTGTAAGAGTCGTTCTGATCCTCCTCCATGGATATAGCATACCTGAGTGGAGCTGACCCAGAAGTTTGGATGGTTGTGTACGACTGCCCGGAGACCCTCTTCGCCGACAGAGACTCCCAGTTGTTGAATATTCGCAACTTCCCTTACAGAATGGGAGTGGAGGAGTCCATGGGACCTTCCAATTTCATAATCGATGCAGATCATTGGTGATTGATCAGGTGGCTGTTGATCCACTCTCCGAGCCTGGCAACTGATTTACAAACGTTTCGTCACCGCTTCGGAGCACGGCGCACTGAAAATGAGCGCCAGCATTGCAACACAACCGACGCAGACTTCGGTGTAGGATTTTACGTCTCGGGGATGAAAAGGGTGAGTGCCCCCGAAGGGAATCGAACTCTCGACCCCTGGTTTACGAGACCAGTGCTCTAACCACTGAGCTACGAGGGCTGGGGCGGTTGACGACGCTAGATTATGCGAATCATGTGGCAGGTGCTGTTGTATGAAACTAACAGGTAGTGAGTGCGGCATGTTTCAAGCTTTTCTGGAATGAACTGTACAATCATGAACAAACAACACAGGAAATGATGCAGGCAATGGTACTCGCTTATTTGCGTCTCTCCTACTCGGTTTCTAATTACCTTATGTACGCCATGCAAATGGCTGCCGGCTTCAAAACTGTGTACACGCGTTGTTCACATCAACATGAGATGTGAAAACACACTAACTAAGGTCCTCCATACAAACGCCATTGCCTCATAAAGAATAGTCTTTACATGTGGAAAATCATTTCATTAGACGGAGGCATGCTGTAGCGTTTGGTTGCATTTTTCTAAACCGATACGTCTCCATTTACTTGCTTGGCCTACGAGCCCACTCCTCTGTAGACAGTTAGCGGACATAAGCCAACTAAATGTGCCACTAACTGGTGTCATTTTGGTAACACACGATTCGGTCATGCAACTTCCATATATGTATCCTTTAATACTGCATATCCTAAGCAAATGTGTGGGATTTCCTCATAATAGTGTTTTGGTGGACACGTTTCAGGACGACTACTGTGTGTGTGTGTGGTATACGGAGGAAAATTAAATTTTACTCCCAAAAACACCTCATAAACAAATTCAGCTGCAACGCGGGAAATTTTTGTAGCAACTAAATAAGGACCCGTGCGTGTATTTTGTGTTCTCGTCCACGTTGGATTTTTTGCTTTCATGGCCTCTTGATTGGTCTCTGTTGGGTGTTAGGAGGTTCTCCCTTCAATGTGTAACATTTTCGAACCAAGTCTCACAGGATCTGAGATTTTCTCTTCCAAGGGTTGTGCTGTTCGATGGATGTGCAACTGAATGACTAAACAGACGCCATTTTGAAGCCCACCTGTTCCTGCTCGGCCGGACTCCAAAGCACGTCTTATAGGGTGTTAATGATGAGTCAGTGCAGTGTGAACATTCCACATCTTGGGTCTTCTCTAAAAAAATATGTCCCGTTGTTTTTTCCCCACTCAGAACTGAAAATACCGACTCCGCCTGGTGTCCACGCAACAGAGTCGGTCCTGAGTTGAATGAATTTGTCCAAGTGGATATGGGCGAACTTAATGTGATCACCAAACTCGTCATCAGCGGTCTGCTAGTTGAAGGAGGAGTAAGTCGACGCAGTTTGCAAACTTATGTCACCGCCCATTTTTTGTAAATCTTCCCCTGTTGATTAGGAGAGGATAATAATCCACTCTGAAGAGTGAACACTCGAAAAAAAATCGATAACTGCGTCCCAAAATCAGCCACAGTTTCGTATAAAAGCTCCCGGTTTCATGCAAAGGCGCATTTTCCCGTTGTTATCCCCTGTCCGTCCTCCCCGTTCTTCTGACACAGTTATTTTTTGGTTCTTCTCTTTCAGGGTTCAAGATTCGCGCCACACTTTTTCATTAGGTACAAAAGGGAATCAACAGAATCTGAGTGGCGTACTTACCGTCAATTGCGACCAGTACAGGCAAGTGCTTTTTTAAAGCATTAGTCGAAGCCACTCCAACATTGATATCTATGGAGTAGTTTGACGTAGCTCATTCTTGAATGTGGTTTTGTTTTGCTTTTTTACGCCTCGGTTCGATCGATCCGTGTATGACTCGCCTATTTCAGACGATCCTTTGACCTATGTGGATTATGGCTCAACTGTTTTTTTTTACTGTTATTACTGCTTTTCTTGAATGTGGTTTTGTTTTGCTTTTTTACGCCTCGGTTCGATCGATCCGTGTATGACTCGCCTATTTCAGACGATCCTTTGACCTATGTGGATTATGGCTCAACTGTTTTTTTTTACTGTTTTTAATGACTGCTTAGTTGATACGACATTGCGGCTGCTTGTTTGTGTTGGTGATGGTCATGGATCTGAAATGAATATCCAAAGTGTTTAATCAAAGCTTACTCCTTGATAGCGAGCAGACTTCAGTATGGGGGGTTGACTGTGCTGAATGGTTTATGAACGCCGTTTATCACTGAAGCCGCATTTTCTAACCTTGTGTGGTGATGACCACTTTGTTGTAACTCCAGCACTGACTCACAAACAGGTTCATCCGTTTTCTCCTTTCGCAACCCCTTCTCTTCCATCAGACTTCCCAACTGCTGGGTAGTAGCTCAGCCTTGGTACCCAAATTTGTGGTTCTGGACCCCCCGGTGGTTGCTCGGTGGATACGAATCTATCCATATCGTGATTCACCCGCCTTTGTTTGTATTCGGCTGGAGGCCTATGGATGTCGATCTACAGATGACCTTGTTGAGTACCAAATTCCTGAGGGGAGTATTGCCGTCCCACCGTACCACGCACCTCCCTCTTCAAACATCCTACTGAAACCTCCAAATGATCGAACGAAAGACAATCATACTCGATATTATCAAGCTGGGGGCGGCAGCGCTTTCTCTGACACGTCGTATGATGGCTACCGAATTGAACCAGGAAGCCTTCTGGACGGGGGTTTAGGCTGTCTTACTGACCTTGGAATAGCACCGCAGAACGTTGCCCCAACTCCTATGGCTACCTCTGTCTCCATACCTTCTAGCGTCCGCGGTGGATCTTCAGAAGAGTCTAATCGATGGTTCGTTGGGTGGCATCGAGATCGGTGGCGGATGTCAAAAACAGAAGGCAGAGAAGATGTGGTCGATATGCTGTTCCGGTTCACTACGATCCGTAGCTTTAAACGCCTGAAACTGTACGCATCGAATAACTACCGGGAGAAGGTAAGGCCCTTCTTGATGGAATGTATTATCGGCTACTGACTAAGGCTCAGTAGTCAGGTTTCAAAATAGAAATAGTGCCACTAAATTTCCGTCTACCTTTTGTAGGTTCGCCTACCGCGTCGTATCGAATTGCGGTTCAGCATACGTGGAATTCTCTTCTCAGGGCAACCTGTCATCGCTCAAGATTTTTTGCCTGACAATCGAACAAATGGCGTGATGAGTATTGAACTCGATTTGAACGACCGGATAGGCCGGGTTGTTCAATTAAAGGCCTTTTTTGCCGATGAATGGATGCTTTTCAGTGAGATCAAGTTCCAGAGCCGTAAGTTATTTGTTACTAGGGTGTTTCCATCCTACGTACTGCACTTTTTCACGAAAATTGCTCATTTTGTTGGGTTTTCCAAGTGGTGACATACTAAGATGAGCTACACGGGTGACAGAAAAGCGTTCCCGATCGTTGTAGGAATGTGTTAACACCAGGTTGCAGTCGATTTGCTGCAGCCCGGACACGACTAGCTTCGTATTACTTTGTCCTGCGGAGGCGAGTGCACCGATCGACCAATATAGAGGCCTGTTTACCTATGTGGAATCACCGACAATCGGCTTGTGCGATCAGACGCAACGTATACGCTTTGTCTGAAGTCATCCGCACACAGCCTGTTGTGGTATGTCTGGTACCTGGATTAGCCCTATTGGAGACGCCCATCCGAGGCGAATGTCTTTTGAATTCGTTTTCGTTTGAAAAAAGACCTGTCAAGCTGCTCATCGATGGCAAATATTTTACGCACCCCGTTGCAGTGTTTCACTAGTGTTGACCTCAGCATGTGAGCTCGAGATAGCTCAGTGGTTGGGGTACGAATTCACTGCCTCTAGGCTTGGGCAACCTGGCAGTATCTCGGATCCCATGCTTCTTTCGGGAGGTTTGGCAGTGTAGAATACTTCGACGTATTCAGGAAAGCCCACTTGAGTGACGCGCAAAATCACAAGCCAGAAATTGTGGATTCTTGAGATTTATCAATACTACATGTATAAAATACGTTATGGGAGGGTTTCCGTCCAAACTGTTGCACGAAGTAGTGCAAGTCCAAAGCAAGCCCGGAGAAGATGGCAAATCGATCTTAGTTTGCGACACGCGCCTGAGTACAACACGTGGTAACGCAAAATGGTCAAAAAGCGCGCGTAAAGAATGGCTGACCGAATTGATTGGACAAGTCAGAGGGATTACAGTTGCATATAGAGTCTATGAGGTAAACGCAGTAAACAGCAGGAGACAAGGGAAGAGTTTGACAGGGGGAAGGAAATACAGGCAACCAGGCACCGAAAGGTGCTACAGCTGCGTCATGAGACTGCCATCAGGTACATTCATTGGACTGCACTATGTACGTGGACCTTACGGCAAGCGTCACTGTCCATTTGTGTGTGTGTATGTGTGTGTGTGCGCGAAGTGACTGTTTTGCTGTACCGGTGTTTTACTGAGTGACACCAAGAGATCCTCCTTTCCCTTAAAACATGTTGTCAAACAACTTGTCTGTACTTGTATACGATCTCAGTCTATTCTTGATGAACCAATACGTGCTACAGTATTGAAAACGATGCACGATTTGCACGACTTCAGTCTGCGGAATTCTACTACTTGAAGTAAACCTCCAATAGTTGGGTATCTCTGCATACGTATTATTGTTTTGAACTTCCACGTCAGTTTCGACACCTGTTCACATTTTTGGAACATTCATTCTCCAATGGATGTGAAAAGCTGAAGGAGACTACGGGTTGGAGCCGTTTTTATGGGACGACAGAACGTGTTCATGACCCCTTCCTCAGAGTGACCGTACAAAACGTTGACCCACCCAAATATCGGGCTTGAAATGGATGTAAAAGCCAGAGTTGGATAAAAATAGCAGGTTGCCATCGGTTTCCTCCCCGAGCACTGAGATTAGGCGAATAACAAAACAGAAAATGTGTAGCCACTTATCGGAGACTCAATATAACACATATGCTGAGTGCTTCAAGGCTAAATAAGAAAGTGAGCATTGGTGGTGAACTGAGTGAGTGCAGATCGATGTGGCACGTGTTCTTCATTTTGTTGTGGGATACTGTCTACAAGCATCCTCAAAGCACACCTCTCCTAATGGCCTTGTGATTAAAGTCCACATATTCGACAGAACGGTTCTGACACTTTGTTTTTTTGTTCAAGATAACACAGGAGCAGTTCAGATATGATAGGATTCATCGTTCGTTTGTCATAGGAGCCAGTCTTAGGGCGACTGATTTGTTTTTCACCTGGGTTGTCCCTCCATGTGGGAGCACTGTATGTTGTGAGTTGTCCCTAGGACATAAAATTCCAAATGAATGACTTACTCTCTTTCCTTTTTGACACTTTCAGACTTGGCGACCGATCCAATACTGTTTGATGAGTCCACCGGTACTCGAAGATCCAAGAAGGAGCCCACATCTTCTGGCAGTAAGTGGATGTGTTTCTCGTACTTCGTTTGCGTGACTACAGAAGCAAGAAACCTTCAAAAAGTATGTTGCTAATAGGGATCTTCATGAAGATAGAGTGGGTTATGAAGAAACTCTCAAATGGTTGACTGCACCAGAAGATAGGTAGGGTTGGATTATATCTGCCTGTATGGACTCGCCCCTTAAGTCGGATAAAACCACGATGCGTACTTGCAGCTACAGGGGGATCAGCTTGACCCCGGTTGTAACGAGACTATTGGCGTCAATTGTGCTTCGTCGCCTTACGGTGGCTCGTGAGATGCTGACTCGAGAGCAGCAAGCGGGATTCCGGCCTGGTAGGGGTTGCGCTGACCAAAGCTTCACACTGCGTCAGGTGCTAGAACAACGCCATACGTATAAGCGACCCACGATTCTAGTATTCCTGGATTTCCGAGGCGCATTCGACTCGGTTGATCGGTCTGTTCTTCTTGAGACGCTTGCCCACCAAGGAATGCCCCGGAAGTTTGTAA